ACACTTTTATTGCAGGAGCTGTCTTTAAGAGCTCACGCCTGCAACAGAGCATGGAAAACAAGGGATTATTCACAAGTGATCAGACAGATACAGTCTTGTTAGCTGCGTAAGCCAGGACGTTGCAGAGAGGATAGACGGCGCCACCCAGCTTTGGGCGCCTGGCACTTTCCACAAATGGTGGAGAACAGGCGCAGCGCCAAACCCCGCCCTGGAACGCCCTAGCGTCTGCAGCGAGTAAGACTGTAATTTAGTCAGAGAGACGCGGTTGTTCCCGGGTAGCCCGTGAGTCGCTGGAATTACTCATATGGACCGCACTATGCACTTGCGGGAGGGACTCGCCTCACTAGTTGTCCACCCTTTCGGTGGTGCAACGAGTAGCGGTGGTGGCGTGCGATACCGGGCAACTCATATGCCACGAAGTGGAAAACAGATACCCTTTGCTGTGCCCATCTGTAGAATTTTCAACGATTCACGGAGCTCCCCAGACCAACCGGATCGCTTTGACCATTACCTTGTCTGCTGGTAATAATTTTTCGTTGTCCATGTTTCATTGCTTGTTTGAGCTCTTAATACTGCTGAGATGTGATTCGTTGTCTTTGTGGACCTGGAGGCGGGCTTACGATCCGAAAAGTAACCGCACAGAGTATCAGGAAGTTCGAATCCTCAAGCTTAATTGTGCAATATTCAGTTAAGTACGATTGGTTCGTATCCCACGGTGACCAGACAACTAGCCTTGACGAGGAAGGAATCATAAATAGAGCAGTGCCTCTGTTGTTCTGCCCTTGTTTTTCCCCTCACAAAAAGCTTACTTTCAACTTCCGAGGGAACGCACATTCACTACAGGGTTAAAAAGTGATATGGGCTGGCAAGCGTGGTTATCCAGATTCAAGTGTTATGGAGAATAGATTGTGGAGTTTCAGCTGGCCTAGGCCTTTGATCGGAAGACGAGGGATTTGAGTGCAAGTCATCAGGAAATACAGGAAGATCGATTCGTCAGTACGGAGATCCATTAAAGACCAACTGTAAACTCACCTCCATGGATTTTGATCCTCCCCATGTGCGAGGTAAAAAGGGTCCGCAGCTGCAGTAGAGTGCCACACGCTCAAAATATACACGGAAATAAGGGTATGATAGCTTGAGGGTATGATACCACTGTACCATTCCCGGACTCTGCCGGCGCTACCAAACGGGTGGGTACACGCCTAACTGTAGCCAAACGCATTACTTGTCAGAGCCCTCTCACTCGTTCTCTACCGCTGAGTGCGAGTTTCATTGCGGAATCTTGGTATCGACGCGGCTATCGGTGGACCTGGAAGATTGTGCGGCGTAGTCCCAAATGGCACTCACTACAGCTTCACACTTCACTTCCGCGCGCTCTCAAGTGCCCAGTTACACTTGTACAGCTACTTACCCGTTCTTTTCGCACATAGCAAACACCTCTGAGGTGAGAGTAGGTGTAGCAGGCGTAAGTTTGTTTTTCAGAAAAACAAAAAAAGCTCTAACGAGAGTAATATGTGAAAAGTGATCTCGCAAAACACCTAATATAGTCCTTTTTCAAGCTTTTTTCCTCAGAAATTTGATTGAAATTCCCCAGACGAGGGTAGAAATATTTGAGCCTGTACGTTTACTTTTTGTAAGGAGGACTGAAACGAAATTATCACCATAGTCAAACGAAGAAGTCATGCTCTACAAGCGAGAATAAACCCACAGTCAGCCATTGCTAATAAAAAAAACAAAAAAATAAAAAAAACCAAAAAAACAAAACACTAGTACTGCCTCGTTCTCTATCTATTCGAGCAACTGAAACACTTCTTTTGCGAAAATACTCACTTTCATGAAGCAAAGGCGGATCATAGTTTCATTTGCTTCCTTGTTCTCGTCACTATAGAAAGCCGACGGAGGAATAACAGCGAGCTTCTGAAAACCAATAAGGCGAATAGTTACACCTAAATATGTCCAGATAAATGAAGCAACAATACCTTTTCCTTGCAGAGCCATCTAGCGAACCGAAAATCGAGAGGATCATTCGATGCATCCGGTTTTTTGAAAGGTCCGTCTTAAAAGTCCAGGAAAACTAACGGTGACTCAAACGCTAAAGAAAACTCTGTATCGAGTTGAAGACGCACTGACCTAATTTTCCGAATTGAGCCAACATGAAGTAACCCGCTTCAGGACGAATCGGTTCGAAACCACCGTCGGAAAGCATCTTGTGCAACTTTTCACATTTTTCTTTCAACTCGTTAGGGAGACCAGTTAAGAGGTAGGAACGACTTGGATCAGTTTTGAATAAATCAAGCCTTAAATTCAAGTTTATAGAAACTAGACGATTGGATGTCAAATAACTTGACCAACTCTTTCTCGAAGGCGCACGCGAGGGCCTCTTGTGTTGGAGTACTGCATGTGAAAACACAGTTTTGGTGCACCATCTGAAACTTTCTCTGAGTTGTTTATAGTTGAGGGAATGAATGGTGATACAGAGGCGAGAAATTAGACCTTAAGTGGCGTCAAAAGATGTTTGGGACCGACACACCAACCCAGCTTCCATCCAGTGACAGAAAATGCCTTCCCTGCACTACCAATCGAAATCGTTCGGTCGTACATTCCGGGAAGGCTAGCTGAAAAATAAGGGCGATGAAAAAACGGCTCATGTGTACAATCCAATCGAAAGCAGCTCTCCAGAAGGGAAGCAGTCCTTGACATCCTTAATCACTTCAATTTTTACTCTGTGTTTCCTTTTTCTCTTTCTGCACAACCAAATGCATTTCTTTCTAAGGCAGATTTCGCTCGATTTTGGTTTGTCTTTTTGCGGCTGACTCCTCTCTTAGCTCCCAGTACCTTGCCTTGCAAGTAACTGTACAAAATACCCATGGCAGTGGCGGTTACTTGTATAAGACTACTATGCAGGCCTCATTGTGTCCGGATTTACGAGAAGAGACAAATTTTAGCTACAATTGTATCAAGTGAGGACCACATTAACGTTATTATGTCCTAATAGGGGGGGGGGGGGGGGGCGGGCAGAAGTCTGTACTTGGCGCAGATAGGAGAGCGCCAAGCTGTACCGAATTTCCAAAATGTTGGTCGAATGAGTACAACGGAAGAAACAGTTGGAATGTTATTTTATCCTCCCAGACGAGTTCAGCGTCAATTGCCCAATCTTGGAAGGATGGAAGGATTGGTCAGTCTGGCTGGAATCCTCTGCAGGAGTGAACCCTGGACCATGTGGTGCGTTCGATAATGAGCGTCGGCTCATGCCACCCTGTAGTACCACTTCGAACTTGTATCTATCTGCTGACATGAACTAGTCTGTCTGTAGCGGGGTCTGTCCGGAAATTTGGCATCACATAAAGAGTCCGGAAATTTGGCATCACATAAAGAGCTAGTTTGAGGGTCCGGGTCAAGGGTGGGATGCGTGTGGGGATAGGCTTTGGCCAAGAGGTACGGTACACACATGAACTGAGCTACGCCCCGCCCATTATGGAAGCAACTCACCCTTAGCTGGGAGCCTTTTATTCCAAAAATTCGATCCCAAAAGAGTCCGGGATGGGGAACTGTGGGAAACGATAGGCGATCAGTTGGCGGACAAAACGAGGAAGATGCACCAGCAGTGGGCGGGCGCCAACTCTCAAACACACCAACGCGCTTCCAAGCAATCTGCAAGGTAGGTGATATACAGAAAAATCCAGCCTCTCCGACCGGCTTTCTCTTTTTTGAAGACGTGTGGGGGGAAAACTCACTTCACACGCAGGGTACAGCATCGTTGTGTGAAACACATGGAGGGGTCACACTTGGCCGCTGGGGAGGAGGGGGGTGATATTTGGTCGTTGTTGGGGCAGGGGATTGTATGTGCTTTTGAGAGAGATGAGCCACGTTGGGAAAAAATTTATTCCAGGTTGTTGACTTTTCGAGCTTGTAGGAAAGTAGTAGCTAGGTGCTGGGGAAGGGGGGAGGGGTCGTACCGAGACCTTTTTTCAGGTGGGGTCGTACTGGCACCTTATTTCACGCACCACGATGCTGTACCCTGTTCACACGAAGAAGGAGGAACGGCCGGCTTGCTGGCCGATCCCTATGGTTTTTTTTATTAGACCGTAGACGGAAGAGAGCTTCACTATTGCGCAGATTACTTTATTCGGTTTTTCGGCTTCTCTGGGCGATTGGGACTTGTTTATTGGGAAATCCTTGATAGTCAATCAGTGTTTCTCCAAAGAAGCGGAGTAGGAAGTTGAAGTGAAAAAACAGGAACACTCCGATACTGATATTGAATACATTACTGGATAAAAAGGAAAGGTTTCGGAGTCGATCAATCCCTCTTCAGATGCGCTACAAATTCTGTATTTATTCAAAATCAACAAGTGTTTTGAATGGGACATGGCCTACACAATAACTTGCAGGGCCGGCCGATATACAAGTCAGAGTTTTTATCCTAGCAGAAAACCAGTTTTACTGACTTGCATTCGCTCATTCGCTACGTGACCTATTCAACGATCCTCTTGTAAAATTATAGGTTCTCATTCTGAAAGATTTGTGAAGCCACAGACTTGCAGACCATTTGCATTCAAGAACTTGCAGAGAAGGAAAGCATGATTAGCACGACGCGAGATGAGGTTCCCAACTGCTACACCCTCTTAAGTACAGTAGAACATGTAAACTAAAAAAATGAAACTAACAAAACGAAGCCTAACTCTTACCAAATCGAATCATCTTCTTATCCCACACATGCCATTCATAAACTTCATCTGCTACCACAATCAGATTGAACTCGCGCACCACCTCAGCAATAGCTTCAAGTTCTTCGCGAGAGTACAGTTTACCCGTTGGATTGTTAGGATTGTTCAACACAAGCATCTATACTGGGGAAAGTATCTATCTCAGCACAGGCATTCATTGAAGTGAGCACAACATTCACGTAACCCTTTTTCTGTCTTTTGCGAACATTTGGCGCCAGCTATTTAGTCAATGCTCCGTATCTTTGAAGTCATGATGTCGTGCAGCGGATGTGAGACGACATCGGCATAATGAACTGACACGTCCTCCATTTCTACACTTGCGGATCATAACTGTCATACGCAGGGTCCATGACTGAAAAAAAAACACAATTGCAAGGCAAACGTCATCTATTGAGCTATTTTGCGGAGATGATCGTGATTAGTGAGGCAATAACGTGACTAACAAACCGTTGGCTGAAAACATAGACTTCCCCGAACACAGCACTACCAAAACGTCTTGTTACTACCTGATTTCTAAATGCGAATTGCCCTGAATCTCCGTCATAGTCCTTTCAAAGATTTCTCGTGTCGTTTGCTACGAGACCTTTTCAACGATTCTCTTGCAAAAATATAGGTTTCTCATTTTGAAAGATTTGTGGAGGTACAGTTTTGTTCTATGGGTTTTGTTCTGTTTTCATGGAATAGGGCGCGTGTCCCGCAGGATGAGTTCAGCGCGGCGCCAGAGGACAGTCTCATCAGTTGTTGAAGCGCGCAAGAGACAAAAATCGGTGCAAAACGACTGACACCCATCAATGATACAGTCTTGGCTCTTCAGCAACTGGTACAGAACGGGTCTGACGCCGCGCCAAACTCATCTCGCAGGATACACCCCTTGATCTACGGCGAACAAGACTGTAACGAGGATCAAACGTGGATCCCCTGAGCTACACCCATGTTTAGCAAAGAGCTACTGACCCGAGGAAGACAAGGAAAAACCGAGAATGGAGAAGATGTTAGGGGCGTTTCGTGGAATTGCAATGTCACCTGATTCTGAATTTCGCAGCAATCTTTACTTAAAACTTCGACAAGTGAACTGAGCGACTTAAGTTTCATGTAGTTTCTGCCGTTTTTCTCCCCTCTGCCCCGATTTTGCAATTTACGCAGCTGATCTTAGAATGAGCCTCACCTCTCAATCAGTAAATCACGGTTGCCCTCCGACAAAACACATGCGGTCGCTAAAAGGGTC